AATATATAATATAATTATATAGCGATAAAAGAGATACTTCTGTAATAAAACTGTGAATTTTTTGATAAAATAACGTTTAAAAGACTAGAAATTATTGACGTCGTAGTAAATATTTTAAGTTTATTTTTTGAAAGTTACAATCCCATGGGAAAAGAAAGTTAGAAACAATTTGATTCAATATTTATTCTAATTTAGATTGAATACGAGTACATTGTTTTGTAAATTTTCCTTTCAAGGTTTCAATTCTTATAAAATCGAGACTTATAGGATTTCTTAAAGATTCATGGGATTGGCATACGAATAGCTCTTGTTAGTTTCTATACAATAGCTGACATACTTTCAGTGATTTTCCGTGTACGTCAACGTGACGCTATAAATCAAATTTGCGATGGCACATTAAGGTGTGAAAATATAGTATCTTGGTGATAAAATAGATTTCCGAAAAGAATCAGCCAGGAAGCGATTAATCGTCGAGCTCGTTTGTAATCGCTAAGAAATCGATTTGATGTGCTATATCTTTTACCTTTCGGCTGTTCGGCTCTTTAATGTTTTGTTTAACGCAAATAAATTCAATCTACCGTGAGAAGCGATATATCGATTCACTTTGAAAGACTATCTTTGTACAAATATATTTGCGGAGATGCGCGAAATTATCAAGTACAACGTCGATATTTAAAGTTTCGTAACATTTAACATAACGAACTAATGTATTAAGCTTCGTAAAGAAAACAGAGGCAAAAGTTCTATTCCAGATCTTGATTTATCGATTCTTTTACGATTCATTAAACTGTGCACAGATATTTGTGTAATCTTTACTTATTTTTCAATATTAAATATGTATTTAATTAAAAATCAATTTTAGTCTTTGAATCAGCTAAACATTTTATAGCTTTTTTACTATTTTCTATTTGAAAAACATTCTAGCTTTTTATTATTTTTTATTATATTCTTTTTACTATTAATTTTTTTGAAATATTTTATGTCTTATTTATCGATATTACAAGATTACATTAATGTCACATTTCGAAGATATATGGGTGAATCTCTATATATTCTGAACATATGACATTTCCTTTCTCTATTCTCACAACGACATTTCTTATTCTGATCTCGAGAGTGTACTGATATTTTGTTACTGTCATACACCGATTGCACGAATCGATTTATCGGCAATGAAGTCAATATCCCGCTTACGAGCGGGAACATGCATTGCAATCATTTTATCGAGAATTTCTCGGCTGCTAGGATCATACAGCCATTTCGTGTATAATGCAACGATGCTACAAATTTATTTGGCGATTGCCATCGCAATAGTACGCAGTTGGAATCGCGTATCGACAGTTGTTACGAAGAAAAATAGTATAATAATAGTAAACAAGAAAATTAGTGACACTTTAGCCGGAAATTCGCGTAACTATTCGCTGTAAAAACGCCGGGACGCGGGTAAGCATACATTATAAATGAAATAGCAGCTATCTCGATGCCGAATCGGAAAATAAGTCTGTCAATTCGATATCTATAATACGCCAATTTTATTCCATTTACTACATCTATCTTTGTATTATCCTGAATGATCTATAAATATTTTATTTTTTTAAACAGAAATTATATTAAATTTAATTTAATTTTCTCAAGCGTACAAACATATCGGAAATGAAAAATCAATACCGATAACAAGGATGCGTTAACAAGGATTACGATGTAAACGAGAATTTTATCATTAAAAAACTAACTTTTAATTTGATATATATAGTTCTGCTTAAAAATAAACTGAATCTATTTTAGCCATCAAGTGCAGTTGTTTATTAAAAAAAAAGTTCTGAAAAAATTAGTATTAATGTAAATCGTTTCGCGGAACAAGCTTGATTTTTATACGAACTATGCACAATTTTTTTCTGCAACTTTAGTATACAATTTCTGTTATAAATTCTGTGAGAAATGTATTTATAACATCTCTTCTTTCGAAACCGAATAATGGCATTTTCTTCGATCTACATGAGTGCGCGTGGGAGAAGATTTATAGATATCTGTAACCTTATAAATACAACCGATCCTCGTTAATCATACCTTTCGACTACTGTAAACAGAAATAATCGGAATCAGAATATTTTAAGAAAAAGGTAGCTTGTAAAAGCGAGTTTAATCGGATCTCGAAATACTCGAATTATTGTTGAGCCACAAGATGTTCGTTTTTATGATCATTTACTTATGCAGCGTCAATCCGTTTGCAACATTTATCAATAATACTTCTACATATATTTCATGACGAAACTCTCTATGTCAACGTACATGCTTTTAACGATAAAAAAATATAAAATATATTTAATATATATAAAATATATTTTATAATTTTTATATGTGAGAAGGTAACTGTTATTCACGATAAAAAGTCTTCTTTTCAAGAAGAAAGTTTTGTTACGTTTAATGATCGGAACACACGACCAAAGGATAAAATTGTGCCATCAGTTCTTATCCGAAACTTCCGTATAGCGTAGGACGTCATAGTTATATGATGAAGCGCTTCGTTTTGAAAAATTGAGCGATCTCATTGTTTCTCACGATCGTAGTGGCAAGAAACTGTCGAGATTTACGCTGCATTAAACAGTATGCATTTTGTGTCTTCCTGAATATAACGTATACTACACTGAAAAAAAAATTGGTTGCTGCAACAATTCAGATAGTAAAATATGGTATAATATTTTTATATGACTGCAGCAATCAATTTTTTGGTTGTAGCGGCAAATTTTTAGTTGTGTTTAGTTGTCTATCCGCAATATATAATATGATTTCGATAGGCTAACGCAATTAAAAATTTGCTGCCATATTTTACTATCTAAATTGTTGCAGCAACCAATCTTTTCTTTCAGTGTACCCTTTATCGATTTTGTTTCAATTTTTGCTCGCTTCAAATTCGGAATAAAATAAATCGGAAAATAAATTGCTTAAATAATTATTGTGACGAAGAAGATAGAAATTTGACCTAATTTTATACTTTCTTATGAGTTTTGAATAAAAATATGTAATAGAATTAAGTTTTTACGAGGTACGTGTATGTTTTACATAATTATATAAGGAGCATAAAATTTTACGTGAAATATTTTCAAAAATTTATTTATTTATTTATTTTTTTTAAAGAAAACTTGTAATTGCGTTAACTACATGAATTCATATATCCCTGAAATTCATCGTAGAAATGCACGTTAAATGCAGACATATTCTCGGTAATCTTGCTGCTAATATCTGCAAACGAAAACGAATTGATGGCGGAAAATCGCATCATCTATGCAATAATAAGCTTTGAAATGAAACTTATCGCAGATTCAGCGCTATTTCTACCACCAGTTAGCATAATGCTCTCGCGTTAATAACTTAGAATCGGTTTCAAAACTCATTTTATTCACGTTTGCACCTTTGTCCATCTCAATCCCTTCTGCGGTACATTACTGACATGAAAATTAATTCTCTGTTTCAGAGGCTGATTGCTGAACTCAATAAGGAACAGGAGGCTTTCATCGCCAGCAAGCAAACAGGCGAGAAGGGTGAGGCTGTTGCACCGTGGGTTGGTGCGCCAAATGAGGACGCGCTGCGTGAGGAATGCCTGTCCCTCTCGACCGTAATTATGTTTTTCATCCTCTTTTTGTCATACGAATGTAATCAATAAGGATACTTTAATATTCGTTTAGCATTTTAGTGTTACTCCTTTGAGACACAAAAAAGTGGATATTTTTTTTTTTAATTTTTAAATCTCTATTTGTTTATGAACACGTCTTAATTTTATTTCAAACCAGTGCAAAATTTCAATACAATAATAATTACTTATGCATTTCGAGATTCTTTATTTTATGCCTCTATTTGCTTATTGTAAAAGCTAATTCACGAATATTTCTGTGGATGGTACAAAATATGTATGTTATCTTATTTATTAATCAATGTTTTGAACACAGAGAAATGTAAAACTTTTTTTATTTTATTATTGGAAAGATCAAATTTTGTTGTGACTAATAGTTATCAATTTGTCTACTATTAATTTTTCTTGTTGATATAAATTTTTCTTGTTGATATAAATTTTCCGCTAAATTATTTGTAGATATTGCACAAGATTATTGTACATTGGACACATAAAACTATCCTCATTAAATTTAAGCACTTCTATTTGACGTATAAAGCGGTGCATTTTGAGCATCGCTAAATTAAATTTTGCACAAAGGAGGTACTATAAGACGAATTTACCAACTGTATGCGTCACAAAGATAACGGTGCATGATAAAATTTACATTAATTAACTATTATACCACACAAGAGTGACGTGAAGATGTCACTTTTTTACATTCTCATATTCTCATTTCATTATATTTTTATTTCATTTACTAGTTTCATCACATTTTCTTTTTTTTTTATTTAATATAAAACTCTTAAAAATTGCATCGAATATCATTAATAAAAATAGTTTCATGCAACACATATTGAAAATTTTATGCGATAAATACTATATTTTTGATAGTCATTTCTGTCCACTTTTTTTTCGTCTAAAATTAGCATTTAGATTTAGCATTTAGATTTAGATTTAATTGTAGCGTAAAAAATAAATCTTAAATAAAAGTCAGAAGTCATGTTTTATAATTTAACGAAATAATTTTCTGAAACAGTTGCATAATTAATATGTAAAAATAATGCGGTGTGTATATACATACCATATATATATGTTCAAAATTTTTAATTACAATAAACGTGTTTCTTCCAATGGATAATAATATTACTGTAATTTTGTTTTAATGATTGTAATTATTCTTTTATAACTTGAAACTGCTGGTAGCGATTAATTAGAAAAAATATTTTCATTTTTGAGAAAAGAATATTTTTATTTACATTTTGCTAATTTTCTTGCGCATCGTTAAAGGATCACGAATTTGACTTTAGTCAAGCCGGCAGAATTAAACGAGGATTCAACCTTCTCATGAATTTCAGGATCGACGTAATTTCGTGAGAGCACCACCACCAGGCGTAGAATTCGCTTGGGATTTCGAAGCTGTTCAGCCAATGGCACAGGCCACCCTTGCCCTGGATCCGAATCTTGAAGCTATGAGGTTCGAGCTTGTCCCGAAAGTGTAAGTAGATTAAAATATGCCGTGTTATAATAATCCATAATGTCTCTCTTCCACTCTATTTATTTTATATACGAAAATGTCGAAAATAATAGGTTTACATTTTTCAATTAATTCTCATTACTTTAGGATTTTAAATGATTTTATTAAAGCTAAAATTCGTCACAAAACAAGTATGCGTTATAATCTCACATATGTTATATAAAATTAATAATTATGTACGTATTTTATATTGCAAAAATAAAATTGCGTTCGGAAAATCACAATTCTGATCGCACAATATGTAATAAAAAATTAAATAACATTTATGTTGGTTATTATTACATTGTCAACGAATGAAAATTATGAAAGTTTGTATTAATTATAAAGTTCATTATCAAAATATTTCCATTATATAAAATATAAATGGAAAATATAATTTAATTTCATTAATTGATTCTTGAACTTATTTTCTCAAAGTATCAGAGATCATGTTCAATTAATTTTATATTCTACGAAACATGAAAAAGCTAATTAAATTACGTCGTAACATTCGATGAAAATAATGCATTTTATTGTCCTCATAATTTCGTCTATTTCAGTAACACGAAATAGAAAAAGGTCAAAAAAAGAATTTTATAGTAGATTGATAACGCACAGTCAATAAAAACGTCGATAAAAAATTAATACACAATTTGCCCTCTTATTATTGCTTGATTTAAACAAATTTAGTTGATGACACAATTAGTTGATCTCATCACTTTGAAATTGACTACGTTTCCCTTTCGAGACCTCTGTATATAAATGTCAAGGGCTAGGACTATTACAGCGCGAAAGTGCCATGCAGAAATATGAGTATTATGTTGATTTAATCGTTTCGACGATTAATCGGTTTGCGACTTCGATGAAGCACCGTTGCGAAGTGCAACATTAATTAGCGTGACTGCTAATCCTGAGCCCGGAACCTGATCCCTTCGCTGAAACCTTTATCGATTTCGAGAACTCATTCGACCTATTTGCGGTAGTATATCCGAGGAGAATTTCTGGCGCAACTACTTCTATCGGGTGTCCTTGCTGCGTCAGGGCTACGAATTGAACGCGATGGCCAGTCAACAGCAAGCAGAAAGCAACCCCAATCAAACGCTCGCCAGCACCGATAGCATCGATCATACTCAAGGTAATTCGTTTACTCTGTTTTATTTTTTTTTCTTTGTAGAACGGTTTGCGTAGTACGCCGATGTTGGCATTACGAACGTGATTAGGTTCTCCAGTTTTGCTCGAGAACATCGTCGCTCGACGCGCTTCCTGATCTGTTAATATCGATTACGAAGCACGCAGCTTTCTATAAACTTAAAGGGGACATCCTATATGCCGCTGAAATATATACATACATATTAATGAGCCGAAATCTATTCAAAATTTTATATATTTAATTGTGAGCAATATATACTTTTGAATGAAATTAAAAATAATGCTTTTAACTATTGTGATGTCAATCATCAAGATGAGAATCATCATGTCCAATTAGACAATAATGATATTAATTATTATATGTTAATTCTACTCGTGATTCTGAACATAATATTCGACCAGATTTTTCGACTGAAGTATTATTCATTAAGAAATCGGAAAATTCCAATTGTCTACGCGGCTAGGACTTCCCTTTTGACGTCGCAGCACGACGTCTTGCCGAGATAAACTCCATTGGGTTGAACGATGCAAGATGCAACCTGCGGAAAAGGGTAGAGAAATCGGCGGCGTCGCGCTGCATTTACGCCTAATTTGCAATTCCGATTAGCAGCGTCTCACGATGGACTTTTTTGCATGGTGGAGTTTTTGAGATGGTGTGTCTGTAGTGGCGTGCGTTTTCTGTGCAAATGTCATGCTGGATGCTGGGAACGTATTGATCCAAGAAAAGCCCGAAATTAGAATTTAAAGTTTAATCGGCCGAAGATACCGTTTAACGTCTTTAATATTTGACAAGGTATCGAATTTGAAATTGTGAAGTGATTACTACGACTCAGACGCGTACAACATTGCATTTACGTAATCCACGTGAAAGTTAACGTAACACGAAATCGATATGCTGATATTTTGATACCAAATTAATATTATATAATGTATCATGATATCACGATATATTAATAATAATTTCTTCATGTATAATACATAATTTCATTGTGCGTATAAATTCATGTGAGAATAATTTACGTTGATATTAATTACTAATAAGTCCCATGTTCTTTCATGAAACACAATTAATTTCGTTCAACAAAAGGGAACAAGATTTCATTCCTTCTACCATAAACTAAATGATAGAAGGGATAAGTACAGAATTTTGTTCAAATTAAATTTTTCGGACGAAGCAGTTTAACATAGATCGACGTCAACGATCTGTATCAATGCGTTTCATCGTGTATATGAGCTTTTGCACGAAACGTGATGTCACATCGGGATTACGGTATCGGAGAAAGAGAGAAAAAGAGAGAAAGAAAGAGTAGAAATCTCGTGATCAACTTTTTAATTGTGCAAACAATATAATTGCGATCGGTGCAGATGAATTAACGGATTAAGGGAAATACTCGGTAGTCGGGAAATCGATTATGGGGAAATGAGCGAATGCGTTAAAATATCCTTAAAGCCAAAGATTATTCCGTGAATAGGGATTTGGATTGCTGTTACTCTTTCTCTTTCTCTTTTTCTCTTTCACGTTCCATCTCTTCACCGCACCGTGTCTCCGATCATCGAACCGAAGACTCTCGTCTCTCCTTTGAGTCGAAGAAAGATCTGATTTCGCTCCAGTTCCAGTGTATCACGAGAAATTGAATCAGAAGAAAACGCTTGGATTCAGTAATATTCGGTCGAAGAATACGGATACCCAAAATATTTCTCAGATGATGAAAGATGGATATGAAAGAATGGTATTTTTGCATTCTAAGATTTACGAGCGGTAGTATTTCGCAGTATCCTTAAACATCCCGGAAATTTTCTCTGACATTTAGACCGTGAATAAAGATGACTTTTGTCGCTAATATAAATGTAATATTTCGATTCCATTCGCTATTTCGTCGTGCATGTCTTAATCCTGAATAATAATAATCAGTCTTGACATTTTTGAAAAATATCACGTACGAAAAAATCCTATAATATATGTCACGTATATTATAGATTTTCGTACGCGATATAGATTCAAGAATAGATTCCTTAGAATCACACTCGCGTTAACAGTTACTTTCGTGAAAATTTAGAACGCGCGTGTGTTTAATTTAGCGATATCTCTTAAATTAATTAACTGTCATTCCTCTTTCGCGCTTAGATTAATCAAGATTCTGCTTCCGCGTTGCTGGAACTGGGCGCAATCGGCTTCGGTAAACAATCGAGGCATGTTCATGATTACCAATCGTTTGCGTGCGAAATCAAATTCCAGTAGACTTAGCGTTAGTATATTAGATACATAAACACACGTGCTAATGTACATAATAACACGCATCCTCATGTACACGAACACGTACATACACACGCACCCCTACCCATATAGTTTAGCCGTCAGTGTTGTCTTGCAAACAGTTCAAATGACCACTGGCCAGACAACCACCACCGGAGTCACGACGGCGAGCAGTAACAGCGCGCTAGCCGATTCGCCAGGTCACGAGTTCGTATCCGATACCATGAGGGTCTCGGACACAGACCTCGAGGAGGTCCGAGAGGGAATGAAAAAGCTGGGGATGCAGCCGCCGAAAGGTCAGTTGTTGATCGTTGGTCGTCGTTAACTTTCCCACACACAAGATCAGATGCGATCTGTTGATCTCGCCGTCTCGATCGCTAATTCTCATGGCTCTCCCCGCGATAATCTTCGTCGATAAGACGCAAAGATATCATGGCAAGAAACGAGAGTAATTCTAGACTTGATCTCTAAATGGATTGCGGTACTCGCAGAACGGTTTGACTTTTAAATGAGAATTTCCGAATTTCTATGACGGCAGATTGTATTTGTGAAATTACTTTGTCTAGAATGATTTACATCTAGAGAATCTTAGATTTTCCCATTTCCTTGGTTCTCATTAGTTACGACCACCAACGAGATTTTGCATAATTATATGATGAAGACGCCGTTTTCCTTATTTGCTGGTGATTAATGAACGATATCAAACAAAATTGAAGTACTTAATCGGAGTTCGTGATAAATATAATTCTCAGTATCCGTATATAATTGCAATTTTTTTATTATTTCTACAAGTTTTAATTATAGAAAATTAGATTTAAAAAAAAGAAAGACCCACGTCGAATGTGATTATACATTACATAATATAGTTACAGTCTACAAGTATAGTTTTGGAGGAACGCAGAGGTCGTTCCAAGTAATTACGTCTCACTAAATTGTGTCTCGTTAAATAGCGAAATGTATCGGCTATAAGAAATGCAGTTCTTGAAAACTGTTTCTTGCCAAAGATTATGTATCATTCATTGATCTTACCAGCAAAACGGAAACGGGTCACCGAGGTGATCGATGCAAGAGCTCGATCTGTGCCACGACACGGTCCAAGAGTACTCTCCTCGTGAGTATGAAATTAATGCCACCGCGCGAAAAGCCTGACCTTAATTTCTCAATGTGTTACACCACCATCAAGCTAGTGTCGTTTCTTACGTAGCTTCTCTGTACATCCCTTCAATCTTCCTGTCTGTGCTTTCTTTAGGAATTGCTTGTTTCCGAATTCTTAGTGTGTGGCAACGACGTGCCCTCATGCGTCATGTCGCTATTGTTGCCAATGTTGAACGTCTGTTGCGTTTAAACGTTTCTCTTTCTTTTTTTTTTCTCTCTCTTATATGGGTGCTTTGACTAAACGACCGCTTTTCATTCTATTTTGTCAACAGCCTAAAAGAAGAGGAGAGTGCCCCCCAAATGCCATTATCCAAAGCACACCCCTCAGAGATATACATGCTTCCCACTCTCGAAAACTGACAATTTCAGTTCTTGCGATATCGAAACTTCTTTTCGCGTCTCTTTCTCTTTCTCCCATTCCCATTTCCGTCTCTTTTCTTTCTTTCTTTCTCTGTTTTTTTCCTCTTTATTGCTCCATTTCTGTTACGTTCGATCGCGAAACCACCCCTTCCTTGACACGAACGTTTCCACGGGATGAACAGCGTGTTCCTTCTTCGCGGATATTCCGTTTCCGATCGTCGGCAGCCCACGCGATTCCGTGCCAGTCGCAAGGATCAGCTCTATTAAATGCGACGTCGAGTATGAATCGATGAAGAAGTTTGTGTGCAAAGTGTGAAACGCCTCCTCTATGATTCCGGAACGAAATGAACGCGCGTAAGAAGCAGCAAAGTCCGATTTAAAAACATTACGCGATCAGATCCGTCATTGAAAACATAAATTTAATTAGTGTAGTAGACAAATTTTCACGTGAAGTAGTGTTTCAGGCTCTCTGTTAGTGACTGTAGTGATCTTAGAGAGTACTCGGATTTATATAAAGATCTTTCGAATTTTACTTTCACGTAGAAGAGGGCTGAAATGTCTTGGAACGGGCACTGAGAGCATTTTTATATTTCCAATTAAGGGTATATCTTTTAACGACCGCTCAAAGAGACAAGCTGGCTGGAACAAGCGCAATATACTTTTGCGCGATCCTTTTAAATACAAGTGTCACGATGCATTGGGGAACGCTTAGTTCCGGCATTCGACGAGACAAATTTGCAATCAGCGCACGTTCGCCATAACGCGTATCGCAGCAAAGGGATTAAGTAAACCAAGAGAAACATATACAACGTATACAGCTGGGCGTAATGCTGCATGATTATGACGTGGCTATCGTTATCGTTATTATTACTGTCACACTGCGAGGTCATTGCACCGATTGTCATTAAACGCTAATACCTGAATCAGTAATGAGCCCAGAAACGAGACAATTCACCGGTTGCAATCAACCGTGATGACGAATTGAGAATCGACGTGGGAAGCGAAACGCTGGCGAACAGCGTCGGGGACAGGCAAAAATTCGAGAAAACAGAGAAAAAAAGAATATTTTAAACGCGATATATTCGCAATTTTAATTTGGAAGATGTTAAAAGTGATATTTTTTATTTTGAATATTTATGTCGAGTAGATGTGTTTGAAATTTTGCCCAGTTGAAGACACGCTGAGCTCGTCGAATTGCGAAAATCGAACATGAAACGCAATGGAAAAGAGGAAAAGGAAACGTTAGATAAACAAAACGTCGTCACGTCGAAACGTTGTGCGCACGTACACGAATGTAATGAATAAAAACAAGATGCAAACACACAACAATAAAAGGGAGGTTCCGCGAGAGAACGAAGAACGAGAAAGAAAATAACATACATACATACATACATACATACACAACCGGAATAGTAGCAAAAAGATATTCAGCTACGTGTCTGTATGTTTGGCCGTTTTGCCGTTGCCACTCTCTGTCTCTCTTTCTCTGTATCAATTTCAATTAATCTAGCCTGTTCTCGATTCTCTCCGTGTCTTTGTAAAGCATAAATAAGCAACTAAGCAGAAATAACGAGCAGAAATAATCGAAGAAAAGTATAAAGAAATCGGAAAGTGTAACGCAGTTATTGATGAAACGCGAGAGATTACGTTGCGCAAACTGTAAACTTAATTATAAGTATATCTTCGTAAGAGATTAATTAAATGGAGACCTAAGGAAAATAAAAGAGAAATATATATGTATAAATATATATACTATTGCTAAATAAAATATAAAGACAGCGATGCGATATTTGTTAATCTGAAATTTTTCCTCGTGATCCTCCTCGCGATATCACACAACGTGTGTCTCCCCTTACCATTAATCATGTTTCAAGAAAATTTGCAAATTCTTGCAAAAAGTGTATATCAAAGTATTGAAAATCTTAAATTGTGAGACAAGAGAGACGATTTCGCAAGATTCGGATTATTGGTGGAGAACATTCGGATTTTTATCGCGTCGCTGTAAAATTCGTTGAATGACAATACGTGTTTTATCGGGAAACGAGCTATAATACCGCTGGTGCCCGGCACTCTCGTGGGTGGTATAGCTATTGTAGTGTTTTTCTTTCGATATGAAAAAAAGCGGCTGCCGGGAAGGGGAGGAGGTGCGATCCGTTTTAAGTGGCACCTGATCGTCCGCTGATGGGAAAAGCAGGATAAATTAATTACGCGAAACGGCGAACTTTTTTTTCTACGCGGACAACAAACGATTGGATAGAACGTAAATGCGTCCGACGAGCGATTTGTATGCGTCTATCTCGTGGAGATTTATGCGAGAGATGCGTTTAACGTCTGTCGAGAAAAGAAGACAAAATGAACGCACTTTTGTGATCGATATAAAACCCCGCCCATAGCGATGTCCTATAAATTATCGAACTAGCATTAAGAATTCTGTTTTTCTGTTAAGAATTATTATAATATCGCAGAGAACGTCGACATTAACAGTATTATGATGATTAGATAGATTTTATTTGACATTTGCATTTGAATTTTGTATACTTATAGTATTTTATCACGTAATGAAATAAGCAAAGGTGATTCTTTATTTATTTATTTATTTTTTTTTTAAGTTGAAAAAGTCATACATTTCATACGTATTATTTAATTCACCATCCGTCACATGTTGCATCGCTTTTTATTATCTTTATACTTATATATATTAAAATCGATGGGAAAATACAAGTAAAGGATTTGTAGAGACGCAGCATAATTATCTTGAAGTAAAATAATGAACGATACGATTTTTTTTCACACGTTATATTTTATTATATTCTATTTTTTTTAATTTAGTATATACTATGTGCAATTTTATGGAGGAGACGATTTTCGTAAAAATGCGCACGAAAAATATCGGATTATTTGCTTTCGTGCAGTCCGATAAAAATCGATGACAACTGAATTATGACTTTCACTTCTCGGTGTGCACTTTTTCTCCGCACGACTTTTCCGCGTTTTCGGGAATATTGAAATTATCGTTCGACATATGTATGTAAGTAAGGACGAATCGATAGAATCGAAGAGCAATTTTGAGTAAGCATTTTGCGGATTTCGTGTATTTTTAGTATTCCATATTATTTGTCTATAAAAAGAAAAACGTCTCGCGAGACGGTCGGCCGTCGTTGTTATTTTCTATTATTTATTTTCCTTAGAGACGGTTACATCCAGGTACATTTGAGTTGAGTCTTAGGATTATCCGTAAGCTCGTTTTAGCTGTTGAAGCGTAATACAGGAATAAAGACAGGCGATGCGACTGGAAATGCATCGCAAGAAAATATTATTCAAGATTAAATATTCTTAGAGGCCGCAATATTTATTGACGCCTACCACTAGTTTATTCTCGCACGACTTTTAAATGTATGCACGTAACATTAAATAATTTCGCGCTTGAACGATAATTTATTTCAACGCAACGGTGTCCGAAATCTGCGTTTAAAACTAGCGCGACTGGAATACAAAAAAAATGTATGCTATTTGAAATTTTAATAAAATTTTATATAAAATTTTACTCGAGCTACAGATAGCCAAAAATGAAATCCATTTTAATATTTTTTATTTTGGCTGTTTTTTTCACAATGATTCTCTCGGACTAAAAGTACTTACTCTTATCATTCGACATGCTTTTTCGGCACGTGCGTATATAAAGTATTGATTTTACTATTTTTTATAACTTGTATATATAAAACACGATTTTGGACACCGTTGGCTTGAAAATTGAGAGCGCAACGAGGATTCTCGCGATAATGTACCTACAAATAATCGCATTCCCGAAGCATTTAAGTCGCGATATCCCGATTAATTACTTTTGTAATTGCGAATCAGTCACTTTTGTAACAAGTACGTTAAGCGAAACATGATTAACTCTAGCTACTCCTCCCGGCAATTCGCTGTAATTTCCAGAGAGTTATATATAATCGGTGATCGTGTGATAGACGTCGTCGTCGTCGTCATCCGCGAAACATAATCGTAGAAAGAATAAGAAAAAACGCACGATCGCGATCACGTTGTACTCGATAATCGTGTAATATCTCCTCTCTCTATCTTTCTTTCTCTTGCTCTCGTTCTTTCTCTTTCTCTTTTTCTCAAGCTACTAATGTATCCCTATCTTTAACGTGCTTAACGAACCGAACTCAGAGTGAAAGTTTTCGAAATACAAATGTCGAAGCCTTTCCCTCTTGCTTCCCCGTTGCTCTCGTATGTTCTCTTTCTCTCCATCCTTTTGATTTCTCCAATCCTGTAATTTGAGTTTTGCCCCTCCTGATACTTTTACACTTTACACGACACACATACACACTTTAAACACATAAAATGATTTCCGTGCACAAGAAACTCAGATATTCAGCGCGGAAACACAAACAGACGAAACAGACAGACAAACAAGACCAGAGTGTGGCCCTCTCTGCAAAATAGCTACAACGCTGCTTGTGCCTCTCCGCAGAAGAAGATTGGGAACGTGAATTGGAGGCCGAGCTAAAGGATTACGAGGTTGTAACGGGCAACAATAACGATGGCAGCAGCAGCCAGGAGAGGAGCGTCGCGACGGCCACAAAAGACATCGCGGCCAACGATAATGACTGGGAGAAGCAGATCGACGAGCTGCTCGCCAACGAGGACGACGAGGACCTCAAGTGAGCCGAGGAGATCCTCTTCGTGACCGGATAAGAGGGTCGCTCCACGTTGAGATTCTGCGCGAATAGCGAGATCGGCGTGTTGGTTTTCGCATTGGAACTTTCTCTCTGATACAGAGAAGCTCACGAATTTCTTTTGTAAATTATTATAGTTTCTCGTTAATCTCCTGATCAGAACCGTACATTGCCGTACAAGAAGGAGAGAAATGAAAGACAAAGCGATACTCGGCGAAGATCGAATCGATCGATAGATTGAGGCTCACATTATACGTTAATTTTGATGATATCGTAACGCTATTTTTTAAGGAGAATCTATTTTATACCTTTTTGACAGCTTGTTCTATTCGTGCTTTAATATATAAAAAGAAAGAAAACTAAAATTTCACAAGAGCGATTTAATTTTTTTTTTCGATTGTACTTTCTTTCATTCGTTACGTGAAGAAGTCGTGCTACTCAAGGACGGCAATCTCTCATCGTCGTCGTATATTGACACGAAAACTTAGAAGTCCAGTCATTGAGATCGATAGGATTCTTTTCGCATTCGTATTGGCTTCTTCAACGTGAAGAAGCTACGAGAATCGTGTTTTATTTTGGCTTGTCTCGCGACTGTCTCCGCATGAACCCCGATAAAATAGAATACATGAAACCGCCCTTTCGTAGAAAGAATGTAGTTACAGAGGAGCGTCTCAGAAGAATTCCTCCTTTTATTTCGATCCATCATCGATCTCCTAAGGGAAAGAAACGTGAATAAAAATGACGCGAGATTCTTTGAGGTTCGTCTCGTCTTCGAGAAGCATGTATCGGGATAAAATATAAGGAAACCAGAAACCGCACGAAATATTTCCGACACACGGAAAATCACTGCTGTAGTGACAAATGTGAAGATCATGGCTATAAAGGATAAAAGTAAGAAAGATAGAAAGGAGAATCTATCCATCGCTTTCCTTTCGGTTCTTTTTTAATTTCTCGAAAAGAAAACAGCTTCTTTACGATCCTCGAACACGATGAACACGATGGTCCTTTCTCTTCCATTATCGCCGTTTTACAGCTTGGTGGTGCAGCAGAAAGGCTCATGTATTTGTACGATTTTCATCAAATATATACACATTCGTATGAGTCTTTGTGCTTCTACCTCCGAATTACAAAATGACATCCGGTTATTGCAGCTCCAGAGAGAGAGAGAGAGAGAGAGAGAGAGAGAGAGAGAGAGAGAGAGAGAGAGAAATGTTGAAGAACATATGACTTAATTAACACCACAAGCTTATGTCAATTATCGGGCACTCTTGTCCGAGAACGTAATGTTGATTGTAATAAGAAATATCTTCAAAGTTGTGTGATATTAAAGTAAAATTAATTTGATCGACGGAGATGCACGGCAACACAGTCTTATACACGAACGCTCTTCATCGTGATCGAAGGATCGATAATTTTTTCAAGATAAATTACACTGCCGTGTGCCGAAGGACACCGTTTCGAGTGCGGATCGACGATTACGGTGGTCGGTGGTACATTTTTTGCGAGTCTAGGTCGTCCTACAAAATTAACGGTTCTCGAATAGTTATGAGAAACATTGTTTCATAATTTTTAAATGTACTAAAAGATCTCAATCTCGTGTAAGTGGACACTTCGAAGCGCAAATGCGCCGTTAGTCGTCATCCTTTCTTTACAAGCCGACGCTTTATCGCAACTGCGCTTTTCGTTGTTGATTGCCAGCAATTATTGCCGATTGAGAAGCGATATAATCTACGAGAACATGTCAAAAACAAAGATTGATTCGACTAATATCTGATGAACTTATCATGACTTTGCGCGAAATGTCCTACGATTGAGAAAGCGGAAAGGCACTAGATTTAGCGATGTCTTTTGTTCAGCATGTATGTTTCTGGCGAAATCCATAGATAAGATGCAAAGGTTGTTATCAGCGATGATGACGACAATGATGACGATATTGAAAGGAGAATGTGTCGTCTTTAAATTTGTTCTTACCGATCACGGAAGTGTTCCGTTATGCGTTGTTTGTATTGTGTCAAAATGAATTATACGCTGTAAGAATGACATGTTCGCGTTGTCTGTACGGACGAAATATCGTAATAAATCATGCATTGACAGAAACTTTAATGGAGCATATATTACGCTGTTTCATTTGTAAAAGCTCGAGCATAAAGATTGTCATAATTGTTCCAAAGACAGAGTCATAAATCAACTCATAAAGATTGACGTTAAACATATGCCGTAACAACTCTAAAGACAATTATGATAAGTAAACACACAAATGTGCATTTTACAACTCTGTTCGAGACAATTTTCGACAAACTTCGAGCTCAAGCTCTATCTTGTAAAACACACCGACGGGAATGAGATTTTAAGTTTCGATTGCGAAAGTCGCGCGGCGCAACATTTTGTTGGGGCAACATTGTTCTCGGTGTGACATACCGTCCAATTCTCTGCCAAGAAGAAACGAGAAGAAACACGACTTTCAGAGTTAGATTCTTGCGACAATAAAATATCGCGTTGCACGAAACTACGGTTTACGATCAAAAAATATTATTGATTAATCGCATAAAGTAGCATCCTCTCGTGAATTATAAAGAAAAACACGACATCGGGATATCTTTTCCGTGCAGACAAACGGATCTAGCTCAAGCCGCAAGAAGAATTTGTCGTGTTCGCATGTTAACGTCAAGTAATGCTATAACGAGATCATTATCGTAATGATATTATCGCCATTAACGTAATGGCACGAATGTGACAAAAGGCAGAACGTGAAAGACGAAAAGGTGAACAAACGTCGGATCGAAGCGAACGAGTGAAAGCAACTGGATTTATAGTGAGGGAAAGAAAACATGGACCCATGAATTTAATTACTATTCTTATACGGTTTTATTATTTACATCTAACTACCTATAATAAAGCTTGACGGATGAATTCTGTTGAATAAGTCATCATCGTGCATTTTTATCGTACATCTGATGCTAAATACAAATTGTTTGATTTTTATCACAAGAATATGAATTAGGTCATTACATCTATCTAAATATATACTGAAGATATAAAAATATTTGCATTTCATAATCGCGGAAAATAGCAATAAAAACAAAGTATTTAACACAAAAGTAAATGTCTTCGCGCATTAGATTATTTTGTAAATCCTTCAAAAGGTCCGCGTTTTCCACTATAAATCCCGTTCGAGGACTAATAAATCGGAAATAAATAATCATCGAGCAGGTCGGCATTTGCGTTTTCCGTTGAGACATTCATTTTGCATCGTGCACCGTTGCACGCCCAATCCAGGTGTTTAGTCAGTTTATATACCATGAATGACTTTTTCCCTCCTTTCAAGTAGTCATCCCCGGGATGAAAGGAGTACCACGGTAATGCGATAAGATCGTTTCTCCAAAAACCGCACGGCGAGCGGCCGATATGTATTATTATATCAATACTTCTCTCACAATCCGAGAAAAAGTCCGCTCGTGTTCGGCTGTGACCGTGCGAGCCCTTTGAAGAAATAAAAAAAAAAACGCTGCTTCATCCGCGTTCATCTTTTCCCAAAGAGAAGCTCGTTGTAAAGTTTCCATTCGTGTTTTTAGTCGATAGGCTTGTAAGATTTACTTAAGGAGGCGCAATTCACCCAGGCCTAAGTCTGTCGAAGTAAAGCAAAGGCGATAATCGTATTTATCCGCTCTCTTTATTATTATGCGCGGGTTCTCGAGAGAGAGCCCAAGGGAGATCTTTGTTCCTCTTCCTCCCAGATCCTTCGACTGTACAAATACATAAAATGGCGAGAAAAAGAATTTCTCCTTTTTCTCTCTCCCACACACCGGCCGAAGTGATTAAAAAAAACGCAAGATTTGTATGACATAAAATTTTCCGCGCACAGAAACGTCATCCTATCTTCCGCGAAAGCGACAGGAGATAAACGCGATGGCCAGAAATCGAGGTGTACTTCGGCAGAATAATAAAGTGAACTCTGTGAATTAATTGTGTAATAAAGCTATCCTACGGTACTGTGCATTCACATAAAAAAGAAAAAGAAAATGAACATACACCCGATACCTATATATACATATATGTATATGTATACATGTATACATATGGATAAATATATATATATGTATATATTTGTCACACTTGCGCGATAAATATATACATATATATGTGTGTTGTTGAGACTCTATTGAAAGTATGATAATATATTATGAATATTATAATGAAAATATAATGACGCAAGCATTAAGATAAAACTATTGAAAAAATTAATGTAATTGGGAGAATGTAATAATAAAAAAGTCGTAAGAAATAAAATAAAATATTACCTCTTATAAGCTAATATTTCTTCTACCTTACGCACTGTTTTCAACAAAATTCTAACAAAATATTTTAAATAAAGATATTTACGAGATAAAAAATGTAAAAATTTTATAATACTCATATCAAATTGTTTACATATAAATGTAAATATCTCTATAATAATTCAATATCTTATATATATTAAAATAAATTTTTATTATATACGTATCATTTGTATCAATATTTACAGATCTCAAAAAATGTATGTACATTACTTAACATTTCAATCTCATACATTCCACTTGAGTTGAAATTCATACTTATTTTCATGAGATTACAATTATTGTTATCGCTGATTACCCCAAGTAGAGTATTTACCAGTATTTGATAACAAAAAAGATCGCCGCATATGTAAAATCATTGATCGAAATTACTTGGTCGAGTAGAGGATGGAAGCTACTAAGTTGGCATTATAAAGAAAATTAAATAACGCTCGCGCGCGCGCTATAATCAGTCAAACTTAATAGAGCAGATCATTTGAAATACCATGATTCAAGTATAAAAGCGTTGACATACTTAGCCCTTTGAGTACAAGCGCATACGTGCAACGCATTTCTTTTCTAATTTATCCATAAAATAATAATAATTTATCCATAAATAATTTATGTACAATTAAATTTATGTAAATATATATAAATAAATAATACCATAAGTTTAAGAAAATATTTTAACTATGTATTGTGCAATCTCCTGATGCTTAAACTCGATGCGAAAAAAAGACCGTGTTTGTTACCATCAGCTGAGTTCCGACCACGCAGAACACTCGACACTGTTTCGTACTCAAAGGGTTAAGTGATATGCTAAACACATAAGATAATATTTCCACGATTAATTTCTGTCGTATGTACAAGGAATTTACTTAATCAATCCATTAATTTCGTGGCGAGTATTTTGAGTTACAAATTAAAGTACATATATTATATAACAGCATCCTCTTTTAATGTAACTCATCGCGTATACTCAAGCTCATAAACTATAACTTTTTCGTTCATTCATTTACGTTATAGAGGAAGGGAGTAGAGCATTTAAATTATCTTAGATATTACGTCTTTTTGAGTTGACTTAAATACGTTCCAGGCTCTTGGAAATAAATATAACGCTAGCGAGTTTTATAATTAATAACGTACTCGTACCGTCAAGATTCATGTCTTAAAATCACCTTTAAATCATCTGGCAACACGTGCGTAATGTCATTTATTCTCTCTCGCAGTTTCTCTCTTACTGAATTATCGATTGGTACATCATCAATGCAGCTTTTCTCCAACTTCTGGCGAATTCTAAGAATCATATCGACTACTTCCACCTCTTGCTTCCCTTGTACCCACGTTTTTAAATCCTGTCCATGATTATTATATTGATAAGAATTTATAATACAATTATGAAAAAATGTAAAAGAAAAAAATTAATATTCATACCGCCTGTGATAATTTCTCTAACTGTTTAACTTGCAACTGCTGACTCAATTCCATATATCTTGTGTGAAACCACCCGGAAAAGTTCGGTGATCGAAAGAATCGTTTATAGAGTCCTACCCAATCGCCTTTTATACCTGTAGTTAATTGAGGACCGGAGCTGCTTAAACTAGCTAGGAAGTCATCTGGATTGAACATTTGTGGTGTAGGAGTTGCCTGAAATCATTGTCATCAATTACATAAACTGACTTTATAATCATTAATCCCTAATAATTGATTACCTTAAAAGGTGATATGTTCTTTTGTAGTGGCATAAGGGTCGCGATATATCTCTCAAGCGGAATCATAAAGCTCTCCGTGAGTTCTATAAGATGACGTTTCAAAAGCGCAGTCTGTACTTGGCCCGGCCGTTTTGTTTGAATACCCCTGAACAATTTCTTCAGTATAGTTTTATCTTTCTGCAGGAAAGATTTGTACTGAGTGTAAACGCCAGGCTTCGAGTCTAGCACCTTCAGATTTTCAGATCTCTTGATTTTATATTTCTGATCTTCTGAAACATCAAATCTTGAACACATACCGCTAAGCTTTAAGCGTCATAGAACTTACCACTATTGTTGCCGTTACTTATCCGGATGATATGCGGCCAGTGTTGCAGCGTTTTTGCGAAGAATGGATTTGTCACGCCCAGGATCACAGCAGGTGGCGTCGGAGAATCGGTGGTATACTCTTTGAATTCCGAATCGTGAATAGTGAAATATGGTCGATGATCTGCACAGTACTTCAATGGCGCGATCATGCTGGAGAATGTTTTCCGTTTATGCATTAGATATATAACAAGTATCAGTTATTTTAATTTGATACTTACGCTATAAGCGCTTGAACCATCTCGGAACATGTAGTCGGTGAGCTTGCCATTACAACGATTGGTTCACTAAGAAGTACTAATTCCCATAATAAATGCACATAACTAACAACACTGGCTAAACTTCGAAACATATCGCCCTCATAAGCTGATGTTAGTATCAGTCTTCGTGTTGCATGCACATTGGATGTGTGCTCCATGGCAGCAATCGTTGGAACAACAGCTTTGTAATTTTGATTTGGGATATATGTCTAAAATAATATGTCTAAAATCATTCTTTTAATACATAGACAACATATATTTATACAAAGTGAATTATAAATATTTTTTCAATTTCATGAGTGTGTTATTAGACAAAAAGGAAAAATAAATATATGTGTAATACTTTTATGAATTAGATCGCAAATGTTTTGCCATCAAAATAGTGGACACAAATAAATTTAAATAAAGCTTGAGTCATGTATACGTCATGCTCAGGTATGTGTAGAGAATGATGAAAGACATTTTAAGCATTTTTATAAACATTTTGAGCATTTTTATAAAAAAAATATCCATCTGAAACTTTTAAACAGTCATTACTTATTGATACTATTACATTTGTATCCATTATTTCAATAACAAAGCATTTATAATATAATGTTGAAACATATGTTCTGCATTTTTTATTTATATAACTTTTAAATCAATTTACCTGGAATAACACTCCGATAAGAGGCAAATGAACTATTTGGCCTGGAACTGGAGGAGGCCAGTGATCAATCTCGCGCACTACAGCTTCCATAAGCGCTATTCCAGTCTCGAAAAATTCCGGCGCGATCAAAGCACATAATTCACCGAACAGATTGACAAATGGCAGTTTTGTAATTATAACAACACTCTGGAAGCGTGATATTACAAATTAAATAAATATAATTACAAGTTAAATAAATTGCACCAAATTTATCAAATTGTTACCTTTTGAAAATATCCTCTTGGCAACGATTTATCCTTCACTTGTCGGAAATATACATATCCCCAGTAATAATCTCTATCAGTTTGTAGAAAAGAAGGTGATTTCCTGTCATATTCCTTGAGAGCATTAGTTTCTTGCATCGTTTTACTACTTTGTCTTATTCTTACATGATACTGAGTATCTCCCATACATCCAGAATTGGAATCAGGAAAGGCTAAGTAACAAACATTAGATCTCTCTTGTTCCGATAATTTAACATGACTTGGATAAATCGCCTGTCACACATAAAAAAAGAAATATGATTAGCAAAAGCATTTTATTTTATTTTGTTAACTAAATATTAAAATAATAATTCTGTGAATGTGTATGGTCACCTCTATAGCTTGACCTAATTCAAGATCAAAAGTAACGATGCATATACAATGCACCCAATTAGTAAAACGTTCCCATTTTCCATATACTACTTCTTCCTTAGTAGTTTCATTGTTTAATCCTTTACTTGTTGAGCAGGAAGGAACTGACATTGTTCTCTTTTCTACTAATCCTACTAATCTAATTATTCGTCTTATATATTATTACATGTGTCATTCATTATTGTACAACATGATTATTTCTAACTGCATGACACTTGTACTGGCACTTGACTAACAATTATGTCACATTATAATTGATCGCTTGAAGATTCTGAATTATCTAAATTCTGAAATATAAAAGCAATCTCAATATTGTAAAAATTTTAAATAAATCTTTCGCAAAATCTGAAATAAATATTGACTTACCACTATAAATATATATTTGCATATTATTCAATATATACATCAACTATAAATCTTTTCTAATTGAATTAACTTTCAAATATACTCTATAACTATGGTTAGTCTTGAAATTATGTACCCTGTTTGGCAATACCTAAAGAAAATTTAATTTGCATGTACAGTCTGTACTCCAGGAATTTAATTGAACCTTCAGTTTATGAGGCCGAGTCAAAGGCTAGTCCAGGCAAGAGTAGGCACGCTTAATACCAGAGTGCATTTGCTCGTATCAATGTACTTAGACATGCACATGTTTCCCATCTCTGGACAACCTCCACATGTTTCCCATCTCTGGACAACAATTTATCAAACAATATATCAGTCCAGCTCGCAGTATAATCAACGCAAGGGTGATTAAATCGTTCAAGCGAGACAGCTATGCACCTTGACATTCGCATACACACGCGACACTCACCCTTGCTTGGTTGAAGAGAGTCTTCATAGCGTTCGGATTCCAACAACCAGATGTTTATAACCTTCGTGTGACAATCCCACGGATCAAAGAATCAGCCTCATACTCGTTATTAGTACTTATTCGATAACGTTAGACAAATTCCTTCTTGAATCGCTACTTTATTGACTTTATTCTTTTATGATAAATTACTACTAAATCATCACATTTAACTTTAGTGGAACGCACCTTAGACTTGCCTCGAATTGCTGCTAACTTGCCTCCAGGGCAATACAGAAACCCTGCCCAATTGTTCACCAAACTGAATTATAAACTTTCCCTCTACTTTTGTAGATGGTGTTACTGTACAACGTACGACACACACTGCACACACACACACAAAATAAATGCATATGTATAATATGTGTCATGTTCATTGATGTTCATGACAGCACCGTAAACAGAATTATCACAGTTATTTATAATTTCTAAAAAATAATTTCTGAATCCACAGAATCCACAGGTTCCTCTCTGCTGCAATCTTACAAAAAGAAATATATTTCTATAAATTATTGTGAAAGGATAATACTCTTATAACCTTACATATGTGATTGACAAGCACGTGTGTCACATGGAAAGATGTGTATGCAAGATATATCATTAGTAAGTATTTCTTTAAAAATGATGTAATAACTTACATTATATTAATTTATGTATATTTATTTTTGATAATTTATACTTATTATTATGTAATTTAATATTTTAAATATATATGTATAAATAATATATATATAGATAATAATACAGAATCACATTTTGCATTGCATTTCCAGAATTATAAAAGCGTTACTACTCCACAATAATGTGATTTTATTGTTGAGAAAAAATTATGGAGCTTATCACATTAGAGCTAAGACCACGCTTGCAATCCTGCAACGTATTCGTTTCTATGCGAAAAGATCTCTGCTTAAAGAATGTTCGAATTAAACTTTTAGAGAGTACCATAGTGTTAATGATAGAAGATTGTAGTATAAACTTCTCATTGCCATCTGTTAAAGTTATACCTACTTCCTTATCCATGTTAAATATAATGAACAATTGGATCTGCTTCCGCTTACAAACTGTACCATTAGAGTCTGCATTTGGATCCTTCAGTACAGAAGTGATGACTAATTTGAATAAATTAGTTCAATCAAATACTCATTCGCAGTCTATTATAAATGATATCAAATTGTTATTTGAAACATCAAAATGTACTATATTATGCACCTGTTGCAAAAATGTTATCTCTAAGTTGATTAGTTTTAAGAGATTTCTTCCTTTACCCAATGCAGAATACGATCCTGAAGAATGGTTTTGTTGTAAACACAGTTGCAACTCTGTCTCAAATAGTGTGCAGCCACAGGAATCTGATTACTTATATGGCTCTTGCTTTTCTGTATTACATAAAAGTATTTTTGCAAGCAATGTATGTACAGATAATAAAACGTTGTCTTGTAATAAATGTTTATTACACATAGGAACATTTCATGCATATAATTTATTCAAGATATGGAACTGTTGCGTAGATTATAAACCAGAAAATAGTACATTGTCTATTACCAATGCTACTAATCCACTCAGTGATTTTCTAATATTAATAAAAAGCTCGCTAAGTGAGATTTTAGGTGAAGAAATTATTCTACAAACATCTGTCGGCAAACAGACGCATCGTCTTTTGATAAAGCCAATGGATTGCAAATTAAATTTAATTACAGAGCCTGATGTTACAATCTGTGATACTGACACTATACCCTTACAACAAAAATATGCTGCCAAAGTTTTATATAAATACGAGAAAAATAAAGAGTTTACTATAATCACTAATTATTTGAATGTTAAATATCATGATGTAGGTTTGCCTTTAATAGAAGCTGGATTAAATTATTTGTTATCATCAACAAAACGACTACCTCATGTTTATAGAACTGCTGCTATAGACTATTTTCTTGGCTATATTGTCTTGTAAGAAATCGCGAATTAATGTTATAATTTATTGTCCAACGATATTAATTTTTAAACATTGCATACATTTTGTACATCTATTTTTATACACAATAAAAAGAAATAATTGTCTATTATATATATATATTCCTCCTCATAAGTACTATATAATACAATAACTCATTAGACAAAATACTCACGAATTTTTTAATATATCGGAAAAGGATACATTTAATTTTTTTTGTTTCCAGAAGATATGATAAGAATTTATTAAAAGAAAATTATTCAAACACTTTTAATTTTTTTCTAAATGTTATGTTATTTGTAAAACAAATACATGGAAAAACTACGGCAATTATAAAAATACTAATACTCATTGTGATTTCGTTTTGTGCATGGGAAATGCATAAATTTATTTCCGAAGTCCATAATTTTGGAATGTCAGTCCATTCCTTACATATTGGAAATCTATTTATATTTTATATCTGCCAATAACAAATTCAAGATTGCGCAAAAATAATTAATTCTATAATCTTAGAATATCGTATTATTTACGTCCACTAGTGACATCGTAAAACTTTTGTATACAATATGGCATGCAATCTATACAATATGATGTATACAGGTTTGCGTAAATTGTAC